TAGTGTTGTCCGTCCCCATTGAGTTCCTGATGAAGGCTCTTAGGGTCCTGTTGATCTTGTATAGGTCTAGGCATTACAGGATCCAGCTCTTGGGCAGCTGGATCCTTCTTGTAATCAATTCAGGCAGAGCACAGGTTGGTCAGCCTATTCTTGCAGTCTCAGCTGACTGCTCGGTCTACCAGTAGCTGGTGTTTTGCGCCTCTGGTATTCTTTCCAATCCCTTTCTGTGCCCCACTCATGTATTAACCCATGTGTTTGTTCATCTTGTCCGCTTTGATATCTGACAGGAGCTTCCATGTGGTACTGAGACAGGTTATTGGTCTATAGTTGGATGGGACCCGTCCCTTCTGGGGGTCCTTGAGGATCAGGACTGATTCTTCGCTTGTGGAGTGCAGTCAGCTTCTTCAGCCAGTAGGTGGGAAAGGGATACAGACATAGATGTCCTGGTATGTTTTGGATCATTGTCCTACTTTATAGTGTGCGTTTGCTTGAGCCTCAGAACATGAAATGCTGGACATTCAACATCAGGATTTTCTTGTAGAGAACAGAATTCATGGTTTCATGTATTACAGGTCATCCAGATCCTGAAGCAGCAAAGCAGCCCCAGATCATCACCCAACCACCATGTTTCATGGTTGGTATGATGTTCTTTTCATGAAATACTGTGTTAGTTTTATATCAGTTATAACAGGAGTCAAACCCTGGAAAAAAAAAAGAAATTCTGCTTTTGTCTTCCCAATCCACAAAATATTCTCGGGGATCATGAAGATGTATTTTGGCAAATATGAGATCAGCTTTTGTCTTCTTTTTGGTCAGCAGTGGTTCTTGTCCTTGGAATTCCCCTGTAGAAGTCACTTTTCCCAGTCTTTTTCTTATTGTTAAGTCATGAACACTTACCTTTGCCGAGGGAAGTGAGGCTTGCACTTCATTAGATGATGTTCAGGGTTCTGCTTTCGCCTCCTGAATGAGTCAATGACAGGAATGGGAATAGCAGATCATCTGCCTCCATCTCACCCTATTCCTAGTATCCTCCTCTGGTGCAGAATCCTCTTCATAGGCTAATTTATACCAAAATATTTACTTTGCTGTAACTCCAAACCATCTCAACCTTGAGTCTTTGTCTAACTTTGTCTCCAAGTCACTCATTTTGAACTGTCCCTCTGATGTACTCTTTTCTAATCCTAAAAATCTTTAGGTATACAACATGCAGCTCAGAATCTCGTCATGCCACTGTCTCCAAACCATACATGATAGCAGCTCTCGCTACCAAATGTAAACCCCCTTTCCAATCTTGCTTCTGTCCTTCTATCACAAATCAAACCTGACACACCCCCACCCATTCCATCCTACCTGTACTCTCTGTTTTTTTCTCATCTCTCTGTGTCTTTTGGTTTCAATGGCTGACCCCAGGTATTTAAAGTTATCTTTCAGGGACAATGGCGGATCCATGGCTGGTTCTTGATTATAACGTGGACAATGGAACCATCAGTAGTAACACTGCTAAGCAGCACTTAGGAAAACTGGTGGCAATTTTTTGTGTAGCCACCAGGGGGAGCACTGATGATGAAAGATAGGATTCATTAATTTATAGTTTGGTACACTATATGTTCATGCCTTTTAAATTTGTTCAGGAATTCTTTAACTATAAGAGTTCTAATCGTAAACCTTTTTCTAAAACACTGATATAGATATTTGCTTGCACAAGGAAGATAGAAGACAGTGTACTTGGATTGCACAACAATAATGTTGCCGGCAGGTCGGTCTCAGGCGCAGACTAGGGGTCAAAGTTAACCTCTTAAGCCCCAACGCCCCCTGATACGGGGGCAAAAAGCAGGAGATCAGGTAGGCTTGGGGCTTAAGAGGTTAAACAGTCCTTTATTTCTTAACACCATGTGCAATATATACAAGGTGGGCAAATAGATGGGGGTTCATGGGGTCCACAGGTAGACAGGGAAAATAGGTGCTCCACTCTCACTCGCCGATCATGCCCCCTTCACTCTGCTTTTTGCTCAATCACTCTGCTCCCGAGATCCTACTCACACACTTTGCCAAACTCACGCTCAGGCATCCAGGGAAACAGGGCTTACAGGATGGGTCCAGGGAATCTATGTACAAGAGATGGGATAAAGCAACTATGAAACTCAGAGATGCTACGATGCCGGGGATTACGCTGACATGTTTACACAATAGTCCAGCGACGGGAGAATCTGAGCCACTGCCTTAAGTAGTAGCTGGGAAACATGATGATGAGCCACAGGTGAGTGATTTGTTGCAACTGCGTGGGCCAAAGGCGGGAGCCTGTAGTGTCACGGTACTGGGTCGTGTGACCCAGTGTTTGGGTTTTAATGCATCTTTTGTATTCATTTGTGTTCTATTTTCAGTTTAGCTCATCTAAATTAAGTTTAGCTCATCTTAATTTCCAGGTTGCTGGTTAGTCCTTTGTTTCTCAGTTCTTTTTGTCATCTCCCCCTGTACTAAGACTCCCTGGTTCGTGTGTCTACCTGTCATGTGTCATGTCTGTGTGGTTCTTGTTGTCAAGTTTGTGTCATGTCTACGTCTCCACGTTTCCTGTTTTATTTTCAAAGAGTCCGATGTTCTTTGTTCATTGTATTTAGTTTCACTTCCCCTGTCCTGTCATTAGGTTCCTGTGTATCAGCTGTTCTCCCTCTGTCATGGTCTGCAGTGGGTGGCTGGAATTTCCATAAGGCTCCTGAACCTACCTGGGATCCGCCCCTGGGCAGGGCCAGCTCCTGCACACCTGGAGCCTATTGCAGGCAATCAAGCCAGAGGGATTTAAGCCACACATTGATGTTCATCCACTGCCAGTTCGTCATCAACACATGTTGGTAACAGGCCTTATACTTCAAGTTCTTGCTATGATTTATCTTGTTAACCAGACTCTCTTGTGCTGCAGTTGCTGTTTTCACCTTGGCTCACGCTCCACCTCCAGACTCAGGATACCAAGCAATCATTTTGAAAATCCCTCTGTGCCTCACCTGCCTGCCCTCCTGCCATCACACTCCATCTGAAGCCCCGGATCTCAGGTTAGCCTTTCCACGCCACTCAGCCCTCCCTGGATTCTCTTACCCCCCTCTCAACACTCCATGTCCCCTACTGCAAGTAAGAATTGCCACTCCTACAACTTGCCACTTCTGAGCTGCCTCCACTACCTTCCTAACTCCACTGTCTTCTCTATTCAGTGTGACTGTTCCCTGCTCAGCTCCACTCTGCATCCCGTTCCCTCGCCCTAGCCACGTTTCCCAGGCCACGCCTCATCAAACACCACGTCTTATTGTTTTTGTCTTTGCTACGTTTTTTGCACTACGCCTAATAAATTATCACATCATCTGCTGTCTCAGCTCTGGGTTTCTGCACCTGAGTCCTTTTTCAGTACAGGCCACTCGGCCCCCGTGACACCCTCATGTATTTCCCATTCCCCTCTAATCATCCCTGTGGGTATTTCGTCTCTGTTTCTTTCAGTCGGTGTTGTGTCGTCTGTGTATCTTTCCCCCCGTTACTTTAGGTTTCAGGACTCTGTGCTGGAATATGAAAGAACTATGAAACATATACATGACTAACCAACATGACCAGCACAGAGTCCTTTTCAGTCATAGTCACCTAGTCATAGCCTTCCTAGTTGTCTTAGTTAAGTCTCAGTCCCTAGTTTTCTGTTTTCCCAGTTAAGCTTCTAGTTTAGTTTTGCCTCTGTTCTTTCTGCTTTGTTTGTCACCTTTAATCCAGCCAAAATAAAGTCTCGCTTTTCGTTCCAAGTTCAGTGCTGTCTTCTCGTCTGTGTTTGCACCTGGGTCCTCACACTCCCACACATGGTCCCCCCCCCCCCACACACACACACACACACACACACACATGCACGCACACACACACACGCACACACACACACACACACCACCCCACTCCACTGCCACTGCTTCACTGAGTGAATGAGTTAAATGCAGAGAGAAATTTTCCCATGAGGATCAATAAAGTATACATTATTATTCTTAAGATTTACTCAGGCAGACGGGACAGGTAAGTGACACAGAGTGTAGAATGTACCAATAAGCTCCTGAGGATGGGATCTAGCTCCCACCTCCAGGATCTTCAGTAAGACACCTGCTCGCTCTGTGCAGTGATTCCCTCTAATGAAGCAGCACAAGGCTGTGAAACGTAAGGGAGGATGGGCTTAAATGCGCCCAACCTGGAGCCTTTTTGATAGAAATAAGTGATTCCAAAGAGTAGAAAGAATTTCTTGAACCTTTTGGGACTTTTTGGATTGGCTTTTATTTGGACTTTTTTCCTAATTGATTTTAAAGGTAATTTTTTTCTAAATTGAGTAATAACATTTGATTTTTAGTATGTCAGTGAGGCCTTACCTTGTAGAGAAGCCATCTTAATTGCCACTTAACAAATTGGAAAGCCACAGCTGCAAACCAGAGCCTCCTTTAACCCTCCTTTTTCTAAGTGAGAAGACTCTGCACACAAAAAAAGAAAGGGGAATGAGTAACAAAGGGAGCATGGAGACTGGATTCTAACCTAAATTTTGGAGTTTAAGAGTGACTTCCTCCACCAGGAGAAATAGAACTGTCTTTAATCCTCTGTACGGAGTCTTTCTACACATCATAAGAATATTATAGACAGGGCTATTCTGACCCAGAATCCTCAGAGGGGGATGATGAAACAAATAATAAAACTTACAGTGTTCATTAAACCCTCTTCCCCCACAGAGGAACTCAGTGAGGCAGTAAGTAAAAATACACAAACGTGGCTGCAGAACAGTCTCTCCATTTTACAAGAACATTACACTAAGACCATTATAAACTGTGGCAACTTAACGTGGGATGACACAGCTTTTCAGGTTGCAGAAAGTTGGATGACAAAGCGCTATAAGGCTAGGTTACCTCAATCTACACTGGAGGCAGCTAAATCTTTGATCACTGAAAATTTGGAATCCTCACATATTTCTGTTCCCTCGCCACTGTCTTCCATGGAATCTCTTGAGGAGGGGATGGCAGAGGAACTAAATATGGAAAGTGAGAAGGATTTTTCACCTTTAAGACAAACAAATAGAACAAATTGTGCAACACTGTATCCTGAAATTCAAATTACAAGGAAAGGTGAAGTCAGAGGTAGGGACCTAAGTGAAGGGAGGGAATTGGGTTTGGGAGTAGGTGGACCTTCCTCCACCTCTATTCTTCCCCCCAACCAGGACTCGCAATCCACTACGACCCCTTTTACAACTCAGGAGAAATCTTACGACCAGGGGGATCATCCCTCACCCTATCCTACCTACTATTGTTCCTGCAAACAGTGAACTGATGATCAGAGGTGACTTGGACTCTTTCCGGACTACTCTGGCTCCACAATTGATAGATGTAAGCCCCTCTTTACCATCATCCCCTCCTCATACTTCTCTTCTCGCCCCTCAACATTCTTTCTTGTGCCAGAGCAGAGACAAGGGGAGGAGGAGAGACCTGGGAGGGTGAAAGCTATGCCTCAAACTTCTCTAATGGATGAGAATTTTGTCCATTTGAGTTTAAATTTGAGGAAACCAACTGATCAAATAAACAAGAGGGCCAGATTAGAAGTGGTACGCAGAAAGCACAACAAACTGTGACTAAGAGCCAATCATTCCATCAGATTGTGAATTTCATGGGAACAAACCAATTTGGTTCTTAGGAGATTCCAACTTAAATCATATACGGGTCTATAATAATGAAAACATTCAAACTGACAGTTATCCAGGTGCCTCTTTTTACCACTTCCTTCAAATACTAGAGAAAAGTCCAGTCCACCCACTCACTAAATTAGTGTTATTGTCAGTGGGAATTAATAACAGGGACTCATACCCAGAAAAGACTTGCAAAGTAGGTAGAGTGGTTACCCTATGTTTAGAAGGTAGGGGATTCAAATCCACCGATCCTGAAAGTATACAGCAGACTGGGGTTGCAGAGGGACCTTCACTTATACCACAGGATAATCAAATTAATGGATTACTTTTCGCAAAATAGTAATAAAAATAAAAACATTTTGGTAGCAAAATTTACCCTACCTTCAAATTAGGAACCAACACGGGAGCATGTGAGTGATAAAGTGAGGGATCTCATACGCTCATATATTCACATTTTCCATCAATTTCTTCCATTAGCGAATGGTGAAGAAGGTCGGGACATGGAGGAGAGGGAGATAATTAAGGAACTGCAGGAAAATAGAAATATTATTATTAAATAAACCAAATTCGTACTATAATCAATCAATTATACTACCAAAAAATCTCTAATATTTTTTTTATTTGCTCCCAGCTCTTCATGTAACAGGCAGTTTTATCTTTTGCCAAAGATCCATAAGGAACCCGAAACATGGCCAATTCCACACCGGGTCCCTTCAGACAGGCCTATAGTGTCAGATTGCAGTAGTGTGACCTACAATACTTCCTTGTGTATAGATCACTTCCTGGGCCCTCTCTCCACCAAACACCTGAGTTATCTGACACTTATCATTTCCTAGAGGTTGTTAGATCAATGATGTTACCAGCTGATGCTCTGCTATTCATGATTGATATTGACAGCCTGCATACGAAAATCAATACAAATTTGACTAAAAGACTAAAAAAAGACTACTTGTCTTTCACATTTTCAGTTACTACATAATTAGTTGCACTTCATCTTCATTTAACAAATAGGAAAAGAAGTCTTCATGATCTTCATCGGTTTGTGGTACATCTGCGTATGTTGTGAGTGATAAACTCATCGTCTGTGAAATTACAGCCTTTAAACAAGGTATAACACAAGTAAAGAAAAGCAAAATAAAATAAAATATAATAAAGTAAAATAAAACCAGGAAAACTCCAACGCCGATCAACAGTCTCTTTAGAATCTGAAGCCATGTTTAAAGAATGTACATTATCTGGTATGTAGGTGCAGCACATGGTGTTG